TATTTTAATAAAACAGATAGACATCTACTTAAGTATTTCAATTTCTTTTCTTACTTTTATTGTGATTTGTATTTTTAATTGTAAAACATCAAAATCTGGTCAAAATTGCAAATACATCGAGACTGAACAAAAAATATTCTTTTAATCGTGTTTTAAAACAAAAAAATATATCCATATGCTGCATTAGAGAACAAAATTCTCAAATATAATATCCGTCAGGAAAGAGTTAATTGAAAATTGGAATTACCCCCACGAACGAAACGGAAAATATCCTGTATCCTGTTTGCTATACAGGGTGATTCACTTTCGGTGTTCTACTAAAAAATCACTTGTTGAAGTCGGTATGTGAATCGAAAAAACAATTTTTACTCTTGAGTCAGAAAGAACATGTGGAAAAAAGTTCTACAGGATGGAATCCCTTTACATCATACAGGTTTTCCGGAAAATGTTCGTATATGGTATAAACTCTAATAACGATTACAAAAAAGTGTTTCTTTTTAAATACAACTCCAATAATTTACCCTCAATTTATTATTATTTATAAAATATTTCACTCACTAAGCGTAGATTGAACATTGTTTATAACGGCGGAAAAACGAATCAAACAGTTTAATACAACCAAAAAAAGGTTCTTTTGGCTTACAACTTCATTCTTTGAATGCCTATCAGGATGTTGGCAATCAACCAAGTGCTAAGGTTCTTTAACCAAGAAATTCTTCTTTTGCCAGGTCCTCACTTTCCTGGAATTGTTCCTCGGAACATTTCGTTTCGTTCATTTATCGCACGATCTACCCAAAAGATTCTCAGTATCTTGCAATAGAGCCACATTTCGAACACGTTTAATAGTTGCTTCTGCCAAGGTCCAAGGTCCATACTATAAAGTAGAATAGAAAAGTCATAGCAGTGAAGAATTCTTATTTTTGTACGTATAATCGTCGCATTTTTTGATCCTGATACCATTACATAGAAGAAGACATTCAAGAATCTAAATTGTGACGGAGAAAGAATTAATATTAGCGCACAGTACTAATACTAGTAGTACTAACAGCAAACAACCCAACGAGTTGATTGAAATGATCGAAAAACTAAATAGGTAAACTCAAAGTATAGGACCCAAAACGAATGACAATATAACCAAAATCATCTAGAAATAACACTACAATCAGAAGAGCACAACATACAACATACATATATCTGGGAGAAAAGGTCAAAATGGAAAAAGAGAATTTAACAGCAGAAAACAAGATTGCCTAGGTAGCATTTGGAAAGCTGAATTTTATCCCAAAGAACAAAAAATATCCAAAATACCTAAAAACCAGAGTTTTTAACCCATGTGTATTGCTAGTACTTACGAATGCTTCACAAGTACAGACATTTGAAAAAGATAATGTAAACAAAATAAAGAAAACACAAAGACTTACGCTAGGGATAAAACTAAACAGAGATGTAAGCTAAATTTGAGAAATGCAATATTAAATTAAATCCAGTTCTTAATAAAAATTATACTACATCTAAACAAAGATTATTAAGGTGCTTTTATCTAAAATTTAATATATTTTCTTTTTTTTTCAAATTTAATTAATTAATAGTACTAATTAAGTTTTCATTCAAAACATCTAAGTGTCAACCACAGTTAGTATCCGAATTGGTAATATAATATAGGATATTCAATTAAAAATAATAAATCCACAAATCTGCACTTCCCTGCAGTATTTAAATACGACATTCAACGTGAATCACCATGTATTCGAAAAACCACGTCTCGTCTTAGTACCGGGTACTATTATTAAAGAATAACAAGGTTGTTTTGCCGGAACTACTTTCATCTCTCGCATATCGGTGATGACTTTGTATTGTTAACTCGATTTCTCTTTTCCTTGGACTTTCTTTGTTTTCCTTACGCGATGAATAAATTCGGTCGTTACTTTAGTCTGGTCGATTGAATGCTTTAAGCCGAATTAAATTTAAATTTTTTCCTCTATTAAATATGGGCAATTAAAATACTTGCCAACGATATCAACAAATTAAGATTCCGAAAATGATATGCGCAATACATTTTAACATACTCATATCGCATCACTAAAGTAATCAGATCGGTAGTTTTTACATTTACAACAAAAGTGAAGAAACAAGCAGAATAATTGACGTTGGTTTTTAAACAATTAACCCAAATGGAATCCAAAAGATTTGTAAATAGCATTACAGGAGCCTATGAAAAATTCACCCTGAGTGACAATCGAGCTCTATATAATTGCAATTAAATATTTAGACCACTATATATATATATATATATATATATATATATATATATATATATATATTCTCACGTATTGATTCACGGATGGAAAAATGTGATGACACTATATTCCGGGATATCATCCGTTCGCTCGTTGAACTCCGACTGGAATCCTGCATCCGACTGGAATCCTGCAAATCTTGCATCCGACTGGAATCCTGCAGACGTTTCGCCAAAATCTCACTTGGCATCTTCAATGCTCGCGCTCCGAAAACACTTCGAACACTGGGAGGTTATCGGCGGTGCGTGAGGTATTTATACTCTGCGCCGGAGATGGTAACGGTGCTGCTTGTGCGTGGGGGGAGGTGGCTCCGCCCCCTGAATTGTCGCGTTGTTAATTTCGCCCGATCGTAGTTGCGATGTCCCCGTTGGCTGCTGCGCATCGCTCTGCTGTTTGATTATCGTTCTCCACGTGTTGGATAAATGCAGAGCGTCGTCTCTCGTATTGAGGTGTCCGGACTTTTCTATTTCGATGGCCTCTCGTATAATCCTAGTCCTAAAATCAGGAATATTAGCTATTTGTTTGCAAGTGCCGAAATCAATTTTATGGCCTGTCTGATGTTGGTGCTGAAACAAAGCAGATGTTGTTTGTTTGTTTCTGCCAGGCTCGAGGAACATCGTTTAGCCATAAGAAACAAACAAACAACATCTGCTTTGTTTCAGCACCAACATCAGACAGGCCATAAAATTGATTTCGGCACTTGCAAACAAATAGCTAATATTCCTGATTTTAGGACTAGGATTATACGAGAGGCCATCGAAATAGAAAAGTCCGGACACCTCAATACGAGAGACGACGCTCTGCATTTATCCAACACGTGGAGAACGATAATCAAACAGCAGAGCGATGCGCAGCAGCCAACGGGGACATCGCAACTACGATCGGGCGAAATTAACAACGCGACAATTCAGGGGGCGGAGCCACCTCCCCCCACGCACAAGCAGCACCGTTACCATCTCCGGCGCAGAGTATAAATACCTCACGCACCGCCGATAACCTCCCAGTGTTCGAAGTGTTTTCGGAGCGCGAGCATTGAAGATGCCAAGTGAGATTTTGGCGAAACGTCTGCAGGATTCCAGTCGGATGCAAGATTTGCAGGATTCCAGTCGGATGCAGGATTCCAGTCGGAGTTCAACGAGCGAACGGATGATATCCCGGAATATAGTGTCATCATATATATATATATATATATATATATATATATATATATATATATATATATATATATATATATATATATATATATATATATATATATATATATATATATATGATGACACTATATTCCGGGATATCATCCGTTCGCTCGTTGAACTCCGACTGGAATCCTGCAAATCCTGCATCCGACAGGAATCCTGCAGACGTTTCGACATTTCACTTGACATCTTCAATGCTCGCGCTCCGAAAACACTGCGAAGACTCGGATATCCCGGAATATAGTGTCATCACATTTTTCCATACGTGAATCAATACGTGAGAATATATATATATATATATATATATATATATATATATATATATATATATATATATATATATATATTCTCACGTATTGATTCACGGATGGAAAAATGTGATGACACTATATTCCGGGATATCATCCGTTCGCTCGGTGAACTCCTACTGGAATCCTGCATCCGACTGGACAGTGTTCGAAGTGTTTTCGGAGCGCGAGCATTGAAGATGCCAAGTGAGATTTTGGCGAAACGTCTGCAGGATTCCAGTCGGATGCAAGATTTGCAGGATTCCAGTCGGAGTTCACCGAGCGAACGGATGATATCCCGGAATATAGTGTCATCACATTTTTCCATCCGTGAATCAATACGTGAGAATATATATATATATATATATATATATATATATATATATATATATATATATATATATATATATATATATATATATATATATATATATATATATATATATATATATATATATATATATATATATATATATATATATATATATATATATATATATATATATATATATATATATATATATATATATATATATATATATATATATATATATATATATATATATATATATATATATATATATATATATATATATATATATATATATATATATATATATATATATATATATATATATATATATATATATATATATATATATATATATATATATATATATATATATAATATATATATATTATATATATATATATATATATATAGTATATATATATATAGATTTATATATATCTATATTATATATATATATATATATATTATATATATATATATATATAGTATATATCATATATATATTATATATATATATATATAT